AGAAGGTTTGCCAGATTTTGAGAAACATCCAGAAGTGATGCAGGCTTTGGTTAGTTACCTACAATAATATGTGGTAACATTTTTTTTAAGGACGATCTTCGTGGTTTGATAGTACAGTACAAACGTATGCGCAGTAACTGCTTGGATTTCATGTCTTCCATTCTACCATTGAATTCTCCGCTCAGATATTTCCGCTTAGCGGAATGCGATTTGCGTTATGCTGCAGAAGTTTACGAACCAATACATATGGAGGATAAAGCAGAATATCGAAAACGTAACCGTGTGGTTGAAATAGATAATGATGATGATGAGCAGGATTATTCTTCAAACTCAGAGTATACCGAAAATTACAGCTACACCGGAGATTTCGAAAAGTATGAAGAAAATGACTACCGTGATATTTCTGAAGCTCGGGAACATTTGGATGATATGGATAACGTGGAAGCGGATGAAATGGAAGTATGTGAAGAGTCAATCAAGTCTGAATACTGCGAAGATTTGGAAAACTCCCTAATAGTGGCAAACTTTGATTTGATCAGAGGAAATAAATCTGAAACAATGGAAGCTAGTGGAGAATCGAACGGATCCATGCTTTCCGAATGCTGTTCAGCAAGTAGCTCATCAGAATATGAAGATGTTTCCGATGACGAAGCAGGAGAGTTCGAGAGAAAAGTTGAAGAAATGACATCTGAGCAGCAGGAGAAGCTTCTTTTACAACTAGTCAATGAGATAGAAAAAGAAATCGGAGGAGATTATAACAAGATGTTGAATCAGCTGTTAGAAACTGAATCTGAACCAGAGAATAGCGATGGATTGGAATACGATTCTGACGAGATGCGTGAAGAACAATCCGCAGAAGATTCTGACGATGGAAGCGATGATTCTGAAAAGACATCCGATAAAGATTCAGAGGAAGCATCTGATGTTGACTTTGATGCTCTATCTGAAATGGGAGATGTTTATAGCGGAAAGCTTGCGCAAATATTAAGTGCTAAAGCTAAAACAATTTCTGGAGATGAGTCTGAAGAAACATCTGAAGAAGATTCTGACGATACATCTGAAGACGATTCTGACGATTCATTTGAAGATTCCAACGATACTTTTGAAGAAAACTTTGAAAAAGTATCTGTAGATGAATCAGACGAAATTTCTGGAGCAGAAACTGATATTACAGACGGATCTCGTGAAAATTTTGATTTAGTATCAGGAGATGACTCGGATAACTCATCTAGTGAAGAAAGTGAAGAATCATCTGAAGAATTATCGGAAAGCGCATCTGGTGAAGAAATGAGAGAAGATTCTTGTAACGAATTGGAAGGAATATCTGGAGAAGAATTGGAAGATGAGTCGGAGGAATCCGAAGGCATAGAGTACGAATCTGAGGAAGGATCTGATAGTTTTGACGAGATTTAGACTTTGACGTAAGAATATATATTCAACGAAATTTTAGAGTATTATTAATAGAATGCTAAACGTATTGCCTGTGGGGAGAATATCTTAGAGATTTAATGAAATCTGCACGCAAGAGAGCAAGACTTGAAAAGCGGCGAGCTGAGATACCAAAGTATCTTAGCTCGTCGCTGATTGAGAAGAGCGAAGAGATACTGTCTGCAACCAAATTGAAAGGCTGCACAGGCCAAAACATATCACTATCCCCAAGAGGATACATAAATTACCAAGGTGAGTTTTAATTTAATTATTCAGATGGTTTGAATGATTGCAGGTTCCGCTTTTGAAAGTCGCTCCGAGTGATAAAGTTAGTTTTTTTCATTAATTTTTTTATTTTTGTTTTTTTCGCAACAGTGAAGTTGATGGTTAGTTTAATGGAAATCATAGGTTACGACGTCAACATGATTATCTAAGCAATTCGACAGGTGGTGTTCAGAATTGCAAGCTCTCCTTTCTTCTTTCCGCTGCTTTTCTCACA